TAACGAGACTGACTCCATGTTACAACCAATCCAGCACGGTTTCCGAAGCACCACTCTACCAAGACTGCCCTTCACCACATTGTCGCTGACATCACTCGTGGCTTCAACCAAAAGAAGCCAGCCGACAGGACCATCCTGGTTTCTCTCGATCTCATCTCCGCTTTCGATACGGTAGATCACAGCTGCCTTGCCGAGCGCATTCTGCTCAACCGAGCTCCGAACAGTGTCAAACGCTGGATGATTAACTACTTGCAAGACAGACAAGCAAAAGTTAATTTCAGAGGGAAGTGCTCCAAGCCTCGGAAAATGCACTCTGGTATTGTCCAAGGCGGTGTCCTCTCGTTTACCTTATTCAAACTTTATATGGCTGACTTCTCAGTGCCTCCAGAAGGTATCTACACGTCGGGTCCTGACCCTGAAGACATGAGACGGTCAGCAACTATTTCCAGTCACTGAAACTCGCCATCTCTGATGACAAGTCGACAGTCACCCTCTTCCCTCCTCAGTCTGCTCAGCCAAACAAGCACCCTCAGGTTCTCGTGCAAGGCAACATTCTGAAACTCGCGAAGACGCCCAAGCACAAAACAGGACAATAATTGGACTATCACTTACTATCAACTAATTCAGATAAATTTTGTTAATATATCTGGAATATTGTTACCCGCTGTCGAAACCAAGATTAATCTTATTTCATATCGAAAAATCCTAAGAATCAGCTGTTTGAGTTAGCGCGAAGTACTCGTTTGTTCCGCCAAAAGTAAATCAACCAAAAATCAGAAGCCGCCTCTAGTTTAAACGATAACTTAAGCTCCCAGCAGTGAGATAATATCCAGAACATACGGACTCGGCCAAATGAATGGGTTTTTCTAATCTACGGATGCGGATAGAAACACAAACACCACCAGGGTACAACATCTTCTCCAATCTTCTCTACAATAATCTTATTAAATAGTTTCATATTACGTAATGGCTGACACTGATGTAAATGCAAACGCAAATGTGCAATCAAATAGGCAAAGTGATGGTGACATCGGCAAATCCAAGCTGGAGTCTGCTGGGAATGGTTAATATCCAGTGGTGGAGCAACTGGTTAAGGCATCCAGTGATGTGGTCGAGACTCGTTTCAAGAAAATGACGAAAGATTATATCATCTGTGTGACAAGAGAGCTGGTCTCACAACTACGCGAGGCAAGACAACAACTCTATGACAAAAACGAGATAAGTGGTTCTTTGTCTGAAATAAGACGTGATGTTAAAGAGCTAAAACAACTAAACCCGGTCAGTAGACAAGTTGAAATCAAGCCTCAAAATTCAGATGTGCATTTAAATCAAATCAAAATTGACGGCGTGAAAGAACTTTTTCCTAAAAAAGAAGATGAGAACAAAGATTTAAAATTATGGAGCATGAAAAAAAAAGCTTAATGACATTTTTGAACACATAGACGAAAATTTCCTAATAGTAGACTGCAAAAGAATTGGTTCTATAAAGAAAGAAACTGATCGTGCCAGATCAATCCTTGTAACGCTACCGAGTGCATGGGATAATCGAAAAATATTGGCCAAAGCGCATTTATTGAGAACCTTCAGAAACAAGGTATACATTTCGAAATGCTTGAGCCCATCAGACAGAAAGATAGAGCAAAGTTTGTTAAAGAAGAGGTGGGAATTGATTAGTTCTAAAAATATCGACAGAAAATGCATAAAAATCAAGAATCTCAAATTGTACGTTAAGGACGAAGAATACATTTTTCCCGAGGGAGCAGAGAACAATGAAAACTGACTAAAATTGCAATATGACGTTTTGTTACTTAATGCCCAAAGCCTACTAAGCAGAAAGAAAAGAGTAACCTTTTCCGATTTTTTAACTCGCTCAGGCTTTGATACTTGTAACGGAAACCTGGTTAAATTCTGAAGTCTCAGATGCAGAATTGTTCCTGAGCACTTTTCAATTTTATCGCGCTGAACGATTAATTGGAAAACATGGTGGTGTCTTAATTGGAGTCAAAGATAACATTCCACATACGGAATTATCAAATAAAAACCTACCTGAATCTTTTAGCACATCACTAGTTCTAGTCGAAGTAGGAGCGGGCAAGAGCAAGAACAAATTCCTATTTGTATTAATATACAATCCTCCCGATAATAGTCTATACCGCCGGATTCCAATAGACGATATGCTAATTCTTTTAGATTTTCTACAAACTTTTCAGAATCATCACGTTATCCTCGCTGGTGATTTTATCTTCCAAAAACTGATTGGCTTACTTACGACAGCATAAATTCCTATGAAAACACATTCGCATCAATGATCGTGAAGTGCCAATTTAAACAACTAGTTTCCTTTGAGACGGCTAAAACAGGAACGCTTGACTTGCTTTTTACCAACAACGAAGTTTGTATAATAAACGTGAAAAAGGACACTAATCTGATGCAAAATTTTTCAAATCATTATCCCATTAAATTTGAAGTACCCTGCGTTCTACCATCATATGTAAAAGTTATTAGTATTTACTATAGTTATTGCCGATGCGAATATGATGGATTAAAGGCGTCTATGATTCAGTTTCCTTTCAAAGCCTATTGTTACAGTAATGTCGACGTTAATGTAGCTTGTTGGTACGAATGGATGTTTAACCACATATCGCAACATACGCCACGAAGGACCCAAAACGACAAAATTTTCAACCTTGGGTTAAACCAGAAACCTCGCACTACCTTAATAAGGTTTCTTCTTACAAGTCTTTTCTAAGGCGGAAAATTAACCCATCGGAAGATCAATTACAGAAACTCAAATCCATGACCGATCACTGTGAAACAATGCAAACCAATGATAGGATTGTGTATGAAGAGAACCTGAGCAAGGGGCGCAATCAGAATGCCATATTCAAGTACCTCAAAAGTTGAAAGAGAGATAAATTTCCCCCAACCAGTTGTTATAAATCGTTTGTTGCAAAATGGGATAGGTAAAAAGCTTATTTATTTAACTGCTTTTTCATTACGATCGTACAAGATCCAAACTATGTATCATTCCATCCAGGTGAGTATACAATTTTCGGAAACATAAAAGTTAGTTTTGGTATAGAAGACATTCGAAACGAGTTAGATCAACTAAAAGTAAACAAGAGTCGTGGGCCCGATGAGCTCCCGCCGGTATTGCTCAAATCAACCAGCCCAGTTTTATCTAAATCACTTTTTGCTGTATTTCAAAATATTAAGCGCTTAAAGAAATTCCCCGTAGCATGGAAACATGGTATAATTACTCTTTTTTAAATCGGGAAGCAAAAAGGATGCAGAAAGTTATAGACCTGTGACTTTACTCAATATCTGTTCAAAGGTTTTCGAACGATTCATGTTGAAACCTATTGCGGAGGCTTTTTTATGCATTGCAGAAAGTAGTCAATATGGATTCATGCCTCGAAAGTCTGCAATTCTCCAACTCCTTTTTAATCTATATCAAGTGTATGCTTCTGTCACAGACCGTAATACGGACATTCTCACCTTTCTGTTAGATTTTTCTAAGGCATTTGACACGATCAAGCATGAAATTCTCCTGAAGAAATTGATTAAACTTGGAATATCTGAAGATTTCTTTTGGCTAATACATGATTATCTATCCTGTCGCACCCAATCCGTAAAAGTGAACTCATCTGTATCAAGTAAAATGCCAATTACTTCTGGGGTTCGCAAGGTTCTATAATTGGACCACTCTTATTTTTATTATATAAAAATGACTTACCGACGTCGATATTCTGCACCCTGGTTTTATTGTTTGCAGATGATCTTAAGTTGACTAGCAAAATTTCAACAACGGGTAGTGACCTTTCTCATCTTCAGGAGGACATCAAGCGACTACAAATTTGGAGTGAAACCAATTTACTACTCTTTAATATGAAGAGATGTGGCTTTATTAATTTCAAGTTAAATGGGCAAACAAGATACAATTCCCCTAATGAATTTTCATTTTCGATTAATAACTGCAAAATTCCAAAAGTTGTCGCTGCAAAAGATCTCGGTCTGATAATAAGCGAAAGTCTTAATTGGAGCGAACATATTCAAAGCCGCATTGCAAAAGGAACGAAAACTCTGTTTCTACTCAAGCGAAACACGTCTTTTTTAATAAACGAGAAATCAAAATCATATCTGTACAGAGCTACAATAAATCCCACTCTTTTATACGCCTCGGAATGCTGGACAGCAAACATATCCGATATGAAAGCAATTGAGAGCTTTAACAAAAAAGTTATGTTGTGGATAAACCCAAATTTGAGTTATTTCGAATGTCTTGTTACAAACAATCTTCTGCCGCCTATGTATTTTCAGGTACTTAAGGATCTTCTCCTCTACCGGAAGATTCTGGATGGGAAATAAAACGTATCCTTCGAAAATATGTACAGTATTAACGAGAACTCACGAACGAAGAAGATTATATTGCCTAGAATCGTAGAAGTTCAACGACAGGATTTTTGGTATCGTACGGGATACAGAATCAATCACATACAACATTTCATCGACTTCATCAACATCTCAAATCTGAAAAGTGTTCTTTTGGACATGATGTGGAGTTATTTCAAGAGAAATTGGCACTATTCAAATTCATGCTCTTGGATCTACATATGTATTTGCAACAGTTGTCGACAAAATCCATGGAAACTATAGGGAGAAATCCCTGCAGCTCAAGCTGCGAATTCTTCATAATAATAATAATAATGGCAGTGCGATATCAGGACGAACTTTGCCAGTTTCGGCGTCTTGATTATCAACTGGGGCAGCTATGGACAATCAATTAAGATCAACCAATTCAGATAAAAATTTATTTTTTAAAAATTATTACCCGCTGCCGCAACCAAGATAAATCTTATTCCTCATTTAAATATCCCAAAATATCCTAAGAGTATTCAATAATGTTAAAAAACTTTTTTTTTCCGTTTTTTATTAAATGCTCGAAACAAGCCATTCGGTGCATTATCCCGGCAGTTTTATGACTCTAAATTCAAAACATGTTCACATTCAACATAAATTGAAGAAATAAGCAAATAAAGCATTGGGTTATCAGATGAAGATTAACTATATTTAATTCAAACTGTTTCTGTGAGCAAAAAAAGTAAACAGCAAGCACAATTACTGACTAAATCGTCTACTGCGCCGTAACTCATGATAAATTCGTGCTAAATTTAACTAGAAAATCTTTTTCACTTAAAGTACCTTCAGATCCATATGATTTAGTATTAGCTTTCGATTTGAAAAAAACTGGTCATCAAAATTCTGCAAATAAAAAACCCAAACAAATAGTTCAATAAATGATTCATGAACTGTACACATAGTTTCAAAATATTGAAAACTGAGGAGATTGATTGTTTGTGAGATGGATACTTCGCAGATAACAGCAAAAGTATATCTTCAGACTTGCCACTGGAGCTGCATGCGGCAATCATTTTCTTTTGGCGCACGAATATAGTTGATGCTTCTAAAACAAACACGGTCAAAAATACATAAGCGTTAAAAGAAAACAAGACGAGTCTAAGCTTCTACTTTGCTCAAACGCAGTTTTAAAGCCCGTTGAACTTTTTTTACAAGTAAGCCAGGCCAGAAAATATCATAGTAACCAATGTTACTAAAAATGTCCTTCATTATTTCCTTCAATAAAAAAACCTTGGAAGTGTAAAGGGAAGTATAGCCTGAAGAAACGTAGAGAAAGTCAAGATGGTTGCGAATCAATTCAAGTAGATTGAGAAAATTAACACCAGCACAAAAAAATCAAACTGATATTACCCTACGGCCTACAGTGAAGATCTTTATGCAATTTGAGAGCTAGAAACAATTAACTTACGTTTTCCGACAACCGTACATGAATTAAATTCCAATCCAAGACTGCCACTTACCTGCAGTTAAAAACAAGACTATCGGAGATGAAAACTCTTCGAAAAACGTAGACACAAGAGCTGATATCAGACCCAAGGTAATAAAAAGTAAAGGCACTTTCGATTTTGTCTCAATCATGTCAGAACTGCCTGTGGATACATCCTTTATAACGTTCCTATCTAATTCCAGAAGGGCACTGAAGGCGTCTTCCTCTTTGAGACCCAGATTTTGGCGCGAGTTGTTAAATAAAGGAGCAGGTAAAAACTTGTCCAGCAATGCAGGATCCTGTGCATTACAAAGCAAACTATCTCTGACTGCCTTTGATTCGGAGGACAGTGTTTCAGACGCATGATTGATAACCGACTCTGTCAAATTGTTGCAAGGTTCAGACCAGCTGTACGTGATCTTCGCCAATCGCTGACCCGAGTTCTTCAAAATTCTCTCCTGTCTCCTTCGGCGTTTAAACTCTTCAGGATTCGCTGTCTGGCTGGTTGTTTCCGTCATTTCATAATTCATAGAACCAATCAACTATATACAATGGGATAGACCTATGAAGATGACGTTCAAAAATAATTATCATTCAACTTCTCTAATCTAAAATTGAGGGTGGCTTTTGATACACCTTTAGCTTCTGTTTCTGTCCTTTACTAAACCTTTTTTCTTTCAAATTGTTGTTGTTGTCAAACCTAAATGTTGCCATAAACTTATTAAATATTTTTTAATGTAATCAGAAGGTCAAAAGTATCATAAAAACCGCGGTTACAGTCAGGAGTCCCTTCATCACGTATTCCAGTCAAAATCCTTGGAATTTTCTAGATATGGAAGTGATAATGATAAAAGAAGATGACAAGTGTTTAAGTCCTTTTCAATTAAAATCGATACGGGTTACGTTTCTTCAATAAGAACACGCAACTCGACACGAGAAAATATAATATACAAGTGTTACAAATAAAAAACTTCGTCGAAAGTTATTTTGTCATTTATTGTTCCGATTACGCAAGCGGCGTTCGCAATCTGTATTGCCAGGGAGATTCTGTTTTAAAAAGCTGCCTGCTCTGAGTTCCTCAGTGCATATGCTTAGGTTCTTACAAAGCTTGCTCAAAAAAAATTCTGTGCTGGGTCCGGCCGCGCCCTGAATTTCAAAAGCTAGCGGTTGAAAAAGATATCCATCATTGATAAGATCTTTATACTTGTCAATTTTTCGCTCTTCCGCTTCAGCGGCAGCCGTACCAGGGTTACAAACAGACCCAGCATTAATCCTACAAGGAGCTAAGGAGTCTACTACCGCCCCATCCCTCAAGAGCTGCTTACCAACAGCCCATGAAACGAGCGTCAAACCATCTGGTCGCTTCTGATCGGTCCTGTAGAGGTGTCGTGGTTCTAAAACAGACGGAATGTGAGAAGATAAACTCTCTTTATAAGGGCATTCAGGTTTCAGTGTCTAGACAATCTCCCTGCACTTTTGAGGCAAGAAAGACCATGCCAACCATCCTCGGTAACGTCTTTTCCGCACACGCATTTATGCCGTTCGCATATTTTTGAGCCTAATCGAAGTCCTAACGCAATTCTGAGTAGCTGATTCGAGAGTTTTAGCCTTAAATTTTTGCACGGGATGACGTTCAACCATTGGGAGCCAAACCTATCTTGGAACGCGTTGAATCTTTTCACGTCCGTTGGTTCGAGTCGTAAATCAAGTCTGCAATTTCGCTGTCAAAAATTGGCTCCGTCCAATTATTTTGGATTTCATTTCCAGAGCCATTTCAATTTTTCCAAGTTCAAACCACCGTTTAAGCGCATCATCATAGTTTCCATCCACATGCTCCAAACCAAAGATTTTGCTCAAGGCATCTTTCGCTCCTACTGCTGAGGCTAAGGAAGCGGGTAAAGCGAGTAAACGAGCGGAAGAAACGCCCAAGCCACCTTTGGCTGCCGGGAGAACTGCTTGTAAAAACTGTTTATCATCCATTTTCACGTTAGTGACCTTGCATAACGAATTTCTTAGTAATTTGTCGTAGCGTTCCAAAAAACCATTTTGCAAAAAACAAGGGCTCGTACGCAAAAAAAAGTAGTTTTATCATGCTAAAGCAATTTTTCAGGAGGCTAAAAACCATAATGTGCGTCTAGTTTGTCAATGACATCCGAGATTTTTTCAAGCTCCCTAATCTTTTCGTCCAGCAATTCTTTTCGGCAAAGTTCGCCAATTGGAGATCCTAAAATGAGGAGTTTTTTTTGTTTTTATTTTTATTTTGGGGCATATTTTTCGAAATTGTGTTAAAATTGAATTATAATGTGTACTAGTAGTCGGTCCCAAAAACAAAGTTCGCACTTCTCAGTGTTCAAGCTCAGGCCGTAAGTTTGTTCCGATTTCAGAATGTTTTTAAGGTCCCGGAGTACTACCTTTAGTCGTCAGCTAAATTTCCATCATCTAAATACCAGATTTTCATTTTCGACGCCAACTGTTTGACTAGTGTATGAATTGTTTCCGCAAAAAGGGGTGGGGCTTCAGGATCACCTTGCTGAGTTCCGTTTTCTGACATTATGACAGAGCTTCGATAAAAAAGGTAACTAGGTTTACCATACGCGCAATGGGTGTTATTATACAATTCGGGGCGATTTGAATAAACATGATTCAGCATTGTTTCTCTATTTAGAGAGTTAAAGGAATTCTTAAATACTAGTTTTAAAAGAACAGTGCATTTTGGATTGTCGTCGCGTTCAATTAGGTTTCGAAACGAGTGCGCAGCTATTTCTGCTCCTCGTTTGGTACCGCATCCTACTTGTACGTTTCCGAAAAAATTTTGTCGCTAGGAGAGGGCCTTGCTTCCAGCGCATTTAGACGCGATACGTCTCAGCGTGTTGCCTATGGCAATCGGTCTCAACCTTCCGTCTACCTATATGAGGGCGATGAGCTTTGGACCAAAAAAGAAAGGTCTTAGGGGTTTGGGTATTTTGCCATCTCCAATGAGGTTTATCAGCTTAGTAAGCGATTTCAGAAAATTAAGTCCTGCACTGCCATTCGACTTACTAACAAGATCTTTAAAAATTTGAGGAACTATTTTATCAGGACCTGCTGCTGATCCGTTCGGAAAGGACATTATCGCTTTGTATAGGTCGAAATCGGTTACGAAAAAACTACCCAACTTTTCTGGATTTGGAGCTGTAAATTTGGCTAGCTGAGGGTGCTTAGACAACAATTTTTGATAGTTATCAGTTGAAAAAGGAGCAATTTTGTCATCCGAAGCAGCAAGCCTTATTCCTCCCTTTACATTTCCTTCATTGAGCTTACTACTCATTAGTTTTATTCTCTGCTCGAGGTCACTCAGAGGCGGGTTTGAAACTTGGGGATGGGGTTTTGGAAGTGACACGTCATTTGCTCGAATTTTTTTGTTTATCAAAGAGCTCATGCTTGTGGTCTGTTTGCGTCCACTTCTTTTTGGTTGCTCCAAAAAAAACAAGAACGACGTTAAAAAAATTAGCCATTTTTTAACATCTTCTACATTGTAGACGATGTCATTTATTTTATCCGACAGACTTTCCGCCAAGGGAACACGCGAGTCTTTTGGTACTCTCTTGAGTACTCGGACATTTGAGATGGCTGTATTAACATAATTGTCTAGCACTAAATCATTACCTATTGTTGCTTTATTAACAGATTTTACATCAACGCATAAATGACACTCAAACCATTGGGTTTTCTTAGAGTCGCTAAGAGAAATATTTACACAACTGATATGATACCAACTAGAACAACAATCACATCTAATTCAATTTATCACTCCTGAAGGTTTTAAGCAATCTGTGCTTGTACACTCTTTGTTTTTTTTCCTCAACTTGACGCAGCATAAGGTAAAAAAAGAATTTTGACTGGACTTAAGGGGACTGAACTAACCCATGATAAGCGGTTAGTGGGAATTTTATAAATCAGCAATTAAAAAGATTAAAAGACAATTAAATTAATTTAAATTTTAAAATCGAATTATAAAAATCAAAAACACGGAACAATCTCACCCGAGCTCAGTAGGTCCAGAGGTGCACCACCAGACTCTTCAAGCCAGTTCCAGTTTCCCACTTCCCCACAGAAAGCCACTTGACAGACTTGTCTCTAAAATCCCTCAGAGGGCGCTCCACAAACAGGCAAAAACATCAAACATAACAAATCTATTTAATAAGTTTATCACAACAATTGCAGTGTAACTTATTAAATAGTTTCCGATTGTGATGCGATGAGTCTGACTCGATCACAATCCAAGTCTATTGATTCCCAACACAAGCGATGCAGCAGCGCGTCCCATTGGAACTTCATTTACAGAGGCGAAGCAGAGCTTCGCACCAGTTGCGATACAAAAATGAATGATTATCACTTCTTGCAGTGTAACATTAGCCCGGAAGTACATATCGACGGAAAATAGAGCTAAGCTATAAAACGACTGGCCAGCGTCTAAACAAAGCTCTACATGCTTTTCACCGACTCTACCAAAGCCAGTTCTTTTGGTGGTCTTCCTAACATCGGGTCGACAAAATGTTACTGCTTTCGGCTTCGACCAGAACGCTCAAATTAACTTACTTACATGCAAAAATAGTGAGCTCATGGCTAGGTCTCAGTATCCCAAGACTACGAGGTCACTCCTAAAAACAGGGCTTTTACTATTTCTTATTTTACTAATGTTTTTATTCAGTAGATAAAAATCATCATCTCTATCGAAGATGGATCAACCCTTTCCCTTAACTCCTAGTTTCTCATCGTCAGAAAATGAATCCAGTTGTTAATTAAATTCAATTCAGGACATAACCAGGAAGCTAAAAGTTCGTATAAAACGGTTCAAGTGCAAGTCCCAAGAACCCTCCGGATTCCCGAATCCGGGGAAATAACACCCCTATTCCCTCTCCGGAAGTCTGGTTTCTACCCTTCACCATTAGCGTGAATGGCCTTGCAACGATTAATGCGACACAATCGTTGCAACTCGGAGCGGTCTCTACTAATACTCTGTCGTATTTTTCTATTTCATGTCGTCGTTTTTCTCGCAACTATCGTCATTGTTGTTTTCGCAACTTCTATCGTTGTTGTGTTTCATTTTAGATTTCTTCCAAAATGGACGTTTTTGACGTTTCTTGGAAAATCTGACGTCATCATCCGAAATTTTAAAAATTTAAAATACCAGAAAATTCTGACCTCCACAGTTTGTCTAATGGTTCAAATAACGTCACTAATCTGTTAAAACTGCCAATTCTCAAGGTCAGCGGCTAATAACTCGAACTGGCCTATATTGTCAATTCTGGTCGAATGTTACATACTCCCCGGACAGCCCGGTCAATGTCCCCATTGAATCTCGTAGTCTTCGTAAAAGTGGTACAGTGCCATTGAACAGAATTTACAAAATGCACGAAATCACTTTTATCCACGTCATATCGACTCACTGCAGAATTTAAATGGCATCATACTACATCACTATAGCCTTCCAAATTCTTTCATTAATCTGCACTTCCGAGGATATGATCTAAGATAAAACATTTTTTCTGACTTTCAATGTCAATGCCCTGATTTAAAACTTTTTCTCCTAGGTATTAAAACATGTTAGTTTGCAGGACAGTCCTGCCAACCAACAAGCTAAAATTATCCTACTATGCTTCTTCCCTTCGGAAACTTTAGTTGTTA